GGTTAGGAGCAATGGCGGGGGGCGGGGGATACAGGGGCGGGAGAGCGACTGAGTGTCTCGTCTAGGAGAGGACCTCGTGGCCTTCAACATGGGAGACGAAAAGGAAGGGGGGAAATGGAAAGAGAGCGCCAAGAACTCGGAGGTGTGGTACAACAAGGTCGAGGACGGGGCGGCATGGTTCATGAGGAAATGGCACAGGCAGGAGGCGGAAGCGTCCGCGAAGCGCCAGCGCGCGAGGGAAGCAGAAGCAGTACGGCCATCTCAGGGCCGAAGAGAGAGTCGGGGAAGCGGCGGTGGGGGGGAAGGAACGGCGACCGGGCACTNTGTAACAGCGGAGCACTACACGAAGCTCAATGGGACCCACCGCCAGTTCCTTACACGGTGCATCGGCTGGAGCAAGCGGAAACGCTCCGACCGCCCNAAGGAACGGCGACCGGGCACTGCTGTAGAAGCGAGTAGGGCGGCCGAGGCAGCACCTGTGGCGAAGTATGTACCCGGCTGATGTTGTTGCGCCCTGTTTCCCTCCCTGCTGTATGCTATACTCCTTGATGTATGTCCTTTGTATTGCTTTCGGCCTCTGTGCTGTTTTTCTGTTTTTCCTCCCTGCCTACTCTGCTGTGTTGGGTACCTTGATCTCGCTTTGCTGTTGCCTTTGTTTGTGTACGTCTGGCTGCCTGCCCATCTGCCGCCTCTTTGTCCTGTTTGCTCTGTTACTCCCATGCCNCTTTCGGCCTCTGTGCTGTTTTTCTGTTTTTCCTCCCTGCCTACTCTGCTGTGTTGGGTACCTTGATCTCGCTTTGCTGTTGCCTTTGTTTTTTTGTACGGCTGGCTGTCTGCCCATCTGCCGCCTCTTTGCNACGGTCGGTGCGGTACCTGTTCTTTCCTTTTATCATTTTGTTTTCTTTTTCCGAGTGGTTTGTACCCTATTTTTGTTCTGTTTCCCCGCGGCGTCGTATGTGCCGGGTGTTGAGACCACGGGCTCCCCATTTTTTGTGTAGACTTTAGAGCTAATGTGAGAAGCAACAAAATCAAACCCTCAAGAGTGCTCCTGACGTGAGCGGTCGAGTTGTCACTCATTCTAGAGGCCGTTTAAGGGTTGGCGCAGGTCTCCTAGAGGAGACCGGCCTGTGTTTAGTACGCCTGATGCGGGATGGCACTTTGACCAAACTACGATATCACGCATTTCCATCAAACAGGTTCAACGAAAATGGCCCGATCTCTTCAATTCCCGACGAGTAGACGCAGCAATTATCTGCTACGTCCTTCTGCATTCTCTGAAATACATATACATCCAACATTCTCCCATCATTCCATGCTTCAGGTACCCAGTAAGCGCGGGGTCATGGTTGAGTCGTCTGGCCTGTTCCACAAGAAAATAGTGAGGTGCCTTCACTTTCAACTTACGGAATGCCGACAATCATGGGTCCACGCACGGTCATTCTCACCCCCGCTGTTCTTTTGCTTTGAAAGGCGCATGTTTCGGTGCTGTGTCTCAACGACCTCCCTTCAGTTTATCACACGCCATTGTCCCCCTTGGGACAGCCCCTCAAGCCCAGTAACTGAAGCAACTTACCCTAAAGATCCAATTCCTCTTCTACTAAGCCTGCTCACGCTTATTAATAGTGAAGGGCTCTACAATTCTCCCTTGAAGCCGGCGCGCGCCTTGCCGGCCTCCTTTGGTAGAACTTCCCTGCACCCTCTCTAAGGCTGGTTGCCGGGCTGTACTCAACGGCCTCACTAGAGATCCCACAACCGGTAGGCCAAGAAGGACGAGCCTTGGGCACACAGGTCGTACAGCAACGTTTCGAACAACAGGTCCCGTTGAGCCATGGTCCTCTCTGTGTATTTGACGGTTGGACTTGATGTCTCTCGCACGCACAGGGCTGGTGCTCAGCGTATTCCAGCTGCGAGTGGCCGCGGCGATGGCAGTCGAGAAGGAGAAAGCAGGGAAAATGAAGACAAGGTGAGAGAGAAGCTACATGGCACTGGTACCTGGGTCTGATCTGTGCAGATACTCTTCTCCACACTACAAAGGAAGCACCGAGCGATAGCATTGCTTTGTACCAGTCGTACGCCGCCCTTTCTATGACTCGTAACTTGCGCGCGGCGTTTATCGGGCAGAGGGGTGCGCTTGATGGAACGACCATGCAGCTGGTTAAGATCTCAACCAATTGTTCTCAATTCAATGCCTGCATGCATGGCATTCGCTAGCGTCGTTCCGTCGAAAGCGTGTGGCGACGTCCGCTACCTGAGTGGCAAATAATGCCCGACTTGTCGATTCGTCGAGTATTCTTAGACCGCGGTATTACGCCGTCTGGGCGTGCCCGCTAGCAAACCTAGTCAAAGAGAGTGCGACATCCGATCGTTCGTCTCCGCTACCCTGGCAAAGATGTCCGGAAGCTGTTATCCGCCACGAGGATCGGTTCAGGGGTTCAGTGTTTGTTGAGGGTTGCACTGACAACAATTCACGCTTTCTTGATTGGAACAATCGAAAATCATCACGTACGCGGTAGGTTTTGGCAGGTACAGCATCGCTGCAAATGAGTCTCCGACATGCCCCGTCGGGTGATGCTTCTAAACAGCAGCATCTCGGTTTCGTTGTTCTCGCGCCTGCAGATCACTGCCGTCGGAGATGGTGTGGTCGCTCTCCGGCTCCAAGAACATCACGGGTACTCTACAGACGTTCTGTGTACAGGCGAGTGTTCTTCGCTTCTTGGGGAAGACGAGTGTGTCGATGGTGGTTTGGCGGTGGTGGTGTCAAGTTACTCAATAGACAGGTGCCCTGAGGAGACTCTCGAGGGGACGCGATCGTTGAAAGCGCAGGATAGCCAAGCGGTACGGTTTGCGGCACCCGTTATGGGTAGACCACAACGGAAGGGCGTGGCAATCATCATGAGGTGGAAGAGCAGCATTTTGTGACGGAATATCTCGCTTGCTCTATCCCTTTATCCACGATAGCCCTTTCTTTGTGTCAACAATATCAAGTCGTCGAGGAAAGGCGGTCAACCTACTAGATAGGCCCGTGCCAGCCAGTCAACCCCCGCTAAATGGGCGGAAAATGAACACGACTCATGGCACACAGGTTGTTTGTGTAGCAGGTGGAATTGGTAGTAAGCGAGACGACGCTAAGCGTTTCGATGATGAGAATGTTTGATTCCGCTCTTGTCGACTGCTTCCCGCCCGAGCGTCTTGGTTCATCACACTCCGAACACACGCCGACGGACTCGTTGTTGTAGATGGGCGCACAAGGAGCTGTGGTGGGAGGGACAATCTCCTGCGTAGTGCTGGCAAATGCAGAGAAACGACCGTGCGGCCGACCGAGCAAGCTGTATAGACTGCCGTAGATACGGCTTGACCAAGCACATAATGGGCATAGCTTTTGTACACGGAAAAAAAGGAGCTAACACAGATGCATGACATTGATGCGGATGGGTTCGTTGAAGGTAGCAACCCATCCGTCGAATCTCCTTCCTTGGGTTTGCTCTTACCGTGGCGGCTATGGGGACCTCAGGTTCCGGCGGTGTGCAGAAGTAGAGACGGTGCTTTCGACACCCACCACAGAATAAGAACCAAGGACACGATAATTGAGGAATGAATGAACCTGTGACCAAGATTCCGCTCGCGAGCAGCCTTGGTTATCTCTCGCGCGCTCTGAACTAGCTAGCTAGGCGTGGATCTTGTTTTTTTGTCTGTGCATATGGATGCGGGTTTGATCGTACACCACCCGCTTGTTTCGTGAACCCTAGCGGAGCTGGATGCGGCGAAGACCCGCTCTACGGCGGTCACCCAGGCACAGAAAAATGCCACAACCGAAATCAAGAAGAGAGGATGCTCGTGGTCTGGCGCCTCAACGCCGCTCAGTACCAGTTCGAACCAAGCAGTCCACCCTCTTTGCATTCAGAACTACCGTTCTACATGAATCTCCCGGGACTACCTGTGCATGCGCTTGCGTATTTCGTGGACCGATACTTCGTTTTTCCGTGGGCACACAGGAAGTGGACGATGCAGACCTCTTGGTGGCCGCTATTGGCATTGACGAGGACGATCTCCGATCAGTTCTGGCGGACATCAAAGGACAACCTTGCGGACTGGAAAAATTGGGGGTGGGGCTTCACCCGGTGGATGGGGGTGTCGGCGACGGGCAGCAGCAGCAGCAGCAGCAACAGCAGCAGCGGCAGGGGGGGGACGCTAGCAAAGGGCGGGAGCGATTGAAGAAGTTGTATAAGATTACCGAGGAAGAGCTGGCAGTGAATAACTTAGAAGACTGCGTTGTTATGCGCATGGCAGTCAAAGACCATTGATCTCGTGTGTGGTTGAGTTAGACTGTTGAAGCAGCGGTGTTGGTGGTGGCAAAAGGCGAATTATCTCGTCGTATCATCTAGTTAGTTGGAGAAGAAGGGGGGATCATACGTTTTCGTAAATGTGAATGTTGCTGAATGTTGCACAGATCACCGAGGCTGTGGCAAAACCCGGTTTAGTGCCAAGCTTGTTTCTTTGTAACACTGCTCAGGGCTTGAGCGCGCCCACCCGCCCTAGGAGCGTGCCAAGGTCCGTTGAAGTAAATCAGAGAGCGACTGTAATAGCTGTGGCCAGTGGCGAACCGAAGCGATTTGGTCACCACGCACCTCGAGATGATGCTTGCACTAACGGACCACCCTTCATTGACGGCAGCATTTCGCGGCACAAGGAGAAGCGGCCGTGTCGTGTACCAGGTATCTAGAGTTTGTACCGGTGGTGCCTGGGAAAAAGAAAGTGCGTTCCCACCCTACTTGCACACAGCCTACAAATAGAAAATCGTTACTGCAACAACTTGGGGTGCAAACTCGGGGTGCAAATGATGTGGCGGTATGAACCCAGAATTTCAGATTTTTATGGGCAGAGCAGACAGGCGTCGCCACCCTCTTCCTTTGGTAATAACCAGCATGCTCTTCGAAGCTACCCCGCATATCTATGGACTGGAACGTGCGCGATTTCTCTGCTACGGCTGTCGTACACGTCCAATAATTTTGTGGAGACTTAACACTGCTGAACAACACATGGTACTCCGCAGTACAACACTGCACCACTGCTGTACGTCATACTTTCATTCAATTCAAACGTTGAAGTACCAAAAACACGCGGCAGGGCTGTTATATATCTCAAAACATTGTTCACCATAGAGAGTCGCCAACTCGGCAATGCACTATGAATCAATCGGGATAGAGACGTGAGCCTTTGCGTCTGTGTGAGCCAAGATTACTGCTGTGAAACAACAAATCATCGCTGCATTCTTTGGCCGCTCCGCCGGTTTCATACGCATGCAAGAAAAGAGCCAGTTCACTGGCTCTCTTGATAGCTCTTCCCTCGCAACAGCAGAAGAACGACCGACTGTAGAACACACTCCCGATTGTTTCGCCCCGGCGCGCTTTCTTCCCCAGCCTGCAAGACTTTGGCGCGCTCTGCTGGTGAGTTAATATGCTAGGGCTGTAGAGACCGTCATCGTTCGGTGCTGGATCTGCGCCGTCCGTTGGTGCTGGCCTCGATTGTCAACATGATTGCTTGCCGCAGCACAGACAGAACGCAGAACGTGCTCATCCAAGGCAGCGAGAGAGGAGTGTGGTTGTATCAACACCACCGCGCTCTACGTCCCCCCCTTGGTGAATTTTCACGCTCGAAACCACAACCTCTCCTTTGTTTGTGGTGGTGTTTGTGCCGCTGGCGAGGGGTCGGCGAGTGCGTGTGATTGCTTGCAGTGTAAAAGTTTCCCATGAAAATCTGGTGTTGAAGTTTGCGAAACAAGGGGCTTGCAGTCAATCTACACATTACATTAGGAATGATTAGGAACATTGGAAACGGCTGTACGTGCCTGCTACTGTAGATATGCATGGCTGTATTGGCACCTGGTTGAGACTTGGCCACGCAGTGAACGACCATAAAGTGAACAGCAGAGCAACACATGCAAAGCAAATGCCCGGAGTCAGTTGCGCAACCCACCTGCGGTACCTGTGGCGTTGTTTTTTTCTTCGTTTTCCTCGGTCCTCCAGTCCTTCGTGCCCCTCTATACGGTAGAGTAGACTTGGAGTTGTAGAGGTAATCACTCAGACGCTACAATTCGAGCTGCGAGTTTCTCTCGAACGTGAGAATAAATGTGATTATGCCTTTTTCTTGGTTTGTTCGAGAGACCTATCTAAGTTCCGTACTTGACTACTGCTGCATCCTGTAAGTACATGATGACCACACACCAACTCTACTGCCGGAGGATCATTTTTTTTTACGTATGCATGCATACATTGGACTTCGTGTGAGAAAAAAGATATCCCTCTAGTATACCCTTGCGAGAGTTCGATGGTGAGGTACCGTATGTACCGGATCCATATATGTAAGAACAACCAAGTCCAGACCATTGCCAACACTGCTCTTTCAAACAGTCTATATCTCCATGTCCCTTCCCAAGATCCCCCCGCCCCGTCCGTCCCACTTGCCCATCCACGCGGTGTGTGGTTTTATGGAATTATTGGTTGTGTTTAGTGTTTAGACCACAAGGTAGCCTGCTACGATGTCCTTCTACGGCAGCGGAGGAGGAGGAGGAGGGGGCGGGGGCGGGGGTTACGGCCGTCACGACGACTACGGAAGCCGTAGGGGTGGCGGAGGGTACGGCGGGGGGGGNGCTACGGCGGTGGCGGAGGCGGTTTCGGAGGGGGCGGTAGGGGAGGAGGGGGGTTCGGTGGCGACCGGATGGGAGGGCTAGGGGCCCAGCTCAACAAGATCAGCTGGGACCTCTCCAAGTATGTAGCCTACTGTATGGCTGGGTGCACGTCGCCTGGTTGTTTCACGATGCGCCACGCAAATCCAAGACCAATCCAAGAGTGTTTTCGTTACATGGTTGTTGTTGCTGCTGCTACTGCCGCCGCTGTTTGCCTTCCACAACAAACAGTCTCTAGGCTTGCTAGGCAGACCGTTACCGGGTGCTTGACACATGATTTGTGATCCTTTTATTTATTATGTGGAGTCCACGTAAGATGGTTCATAAGGTACTCTGGGGATTGCGCATGTTCAACGCGTTTGTTTGTAACCTCCCCTCATCCTGCCGCCCCCCCCCCCCCCCCCCCCCCCCCCCCCCCCCCCCCCCCCCCCCCCCCCCCCCCCCCCCCCNTCGCCGCTCTCCTTCGAATTCTTCGATCAAATGTTAGGCTCCAGAAGTTCGAGAAAAACTTCTACATCGAGCACCCTCACGTTACCAGGCGGTCTCACGAGGAAGGAGATGCCTGGAGGCGATCGGTCGGTTCTTTTTTTGTTGTTGCTGCTGCGGTTCAAAGTTGCGGTTGTCATTCATCGTCGTTGTGTTGTTGATGTTGGTGTTGATGGTGACGGTGGTATCTTGTTTTCGTTGGTGATGGTGTGGTTGTCGTGTTTTGCGACAGAATGCGACGCCCTTTCCGAAAACAAGAACCGCCGTAACCGGGTGAGGCACCAATCCGCCGGCTGCCTGTGGTTGTATTTACCTGTGCTACGTATGCACGAAGACACCAGAAGGGGTTAGACTCACTAGTGACATACCTTCCTCTCCCAAAGGTATATTGAGTTTATTTTGGAGAAATAGTGAGAGGAGATGGCGCGAGACAACTTTCCAACAGAGCAACCCCCCGCCCCTCTCCACTCACTCACTCTTCCACCCTCCATCCCGGTCAATTCAATTTTCAAGACAAGGTAAACCTTATACACGTGATTGTATCGTAGTAACGGCGTGTTTGCGGCGTGCTTTTTCGCTGTTTGGTTGTGTTCTAGGTGGGCATCACCATCCAGGGGGAGGGCATCCCGAAGCCTGTCATGACCTTCGAGGAGGCGTCGATGCCCGAGTACGTCCTGCGAGAGGTTTTGAAGCAGGGATTCCCCAAGCCCACGCCCATCCAGAGCCAGGTATTGGCTTGGGTTGTAGTGATATGATGGATATGCGTCCTCGTCGTCGTCTTCGTCGTCATCCTTTTTGTTGGTGTCTGATGTTTTGTCAAGTGAAGCTACTCTTGTACTGCTGTCATCCGTAGGCAAGGTGCTCAGACAGTCGAATCTGCGCCTTGCGTCCACATGAGGGCTCGTGCCGCAGGACACGCGTGTTTTCAGCGGCCGGCTCGCATTCCCGGCCAGCAGCCGATTCCAATCTTGAACGCTTGTCGGCACTACTCCGCGCACTACGATACAACGATGGGCCGCAAGCTCTCATGTCCGTAGTTATACGCAAATTGTTCCGCAGGGCTGGCCCATGGCGCTTCTGGGGAGGGACATGGTGGGAATTTCCGCCACTGGTTCGGGAAAAACGCTGGCATTTTTGCTGCCCGCCATGATCCACATCAACGCGCAGGTGTGGATTACAAAGGGAACCCCCTTGGTGCCTTTTATGTCCAGGTATCGATCCCCATGAAATCGGGCGAATGGTTCGTGTGAACCGCGCCCTGGTGTCTTGCCGGCGCACACGGTTCGATGTTGTCAGACCAATGTGCCGGGGAGATTCCAAGAATCGCACGAAGATCGAGATCGTTTTGCACTCCACAAGGCAGAACATTTTCTGTAGCGTATTTAGCCGTTGGTCCAAACATCAACAAGCAGGAAGGGACTGCCGTATTCTGTCTGTCCGTCATCATCACCGTCCTGAACGGGAGAGACGAACGCCACAGCTAGCTAGGATAGGCCCATAACCCACAAAATATATGTTTCTTTGACACCGCGCCCCCAATTAGCAATATCCATGGTACCACGGTGTGGGTTGTGAGACTGATCAGGGGGGGGGGGGGGGGGGGGGGGGGGGGGGGGGGGGGGGCTAAAGGTNGAGTGTTTTCCCCAAGCCATGCCTGGGTTACAATTCGGGCAGTGTGCTGGAAGAGTCGGAGAAAACCATGACATGGCAAAATAGTCTGAGTCATTCCACTCTATGATAATTGCGAAAACGCTTTTGCACGCGGAGAGGAGCACATGGGAGGTGCGCCTGTGAGATCCCTTTTTGCCTCCTTGCCCAGAGCTCACCATGTTTCCCTTGCTGCTCCGTCTCCTGGCGCCTTTCCCGCGGTTGATGCGCGCAAGTGTCGGGGACGGTGCAGAGGAACGGATCTCAGACAGGTCCTTGGTTCTCGAGAACAAAGTGTTCTTCCGAACGGTTCTAGATAAGAATCCTTGGGATCGTATCGTTCTGATCCCGTGTTGAACGGAGGCAACAGACTACGTAGGGGAGAGAGAGAGGGAGAGAGAGAGAGAGAGAGAGAGGAGAAAAAGGCAAAAATATGCGCGCCCGTCGACCACATGACGCGTGATGAGACAAGCGTGCCACGCAATGCAGCGGGCTGAAGCCATGGGACAACACCGAGATGGGACAAACAAGAGGGCTTCGTAGAAGAGGTGGGTGGGCATGGACGGATCCATTAGCGCGCCGCCGCCGATGTGTTTTTATCGTACCGTGTCGACCGCGCGAGGCCACTCGTTACGGCCGGAACTCGGAGAGAAGGAGCACCTTTCTTTGCCAGACGAACGACGAGACGATCAGGCATCCGCCTCCCTTGTGTCGTAAGGACATGCACCCAACGCACCGGCCATCAGTAGACCACATTTTTCTTTTGTGGCTCTTTGGGGCCGAAGCTTTGTGCATGCTCTCTCTCGCGAACACAAAGGAAGGAAGAGCCGGTTGCTTCTTCGTCCTCGCTGGTGATCCGTGTGTTTTCTCACTCGCACGAGCCCCGCTCACGTTGTGGTGACACGATGCGATAAACAACACAAGTGGGAGAGCGTGCGCCCCCGTGCCCCCCCCCCTCCCTAGAGTGCCAAGGATTCGCCCCACGCAGTTCAATCAACCGTGACTGTCGTCGCCCAGCCCGCATACGACGGCGTCTTGTGGTGGCACGGTTGGTTTACGGAGAATCTTATGATTTTTTGGCCCCTCCAAGATCGGGCGAAAAACAAGGAACCAGCATCCCACCCCAAGCAGTGTTCCACCAACCGACAAAGGCATCGAAACTACTGCTGTACCTGGAGTGAGGCGGTCGGTCCGAGAGCGTATCGTTGGTAGTTAGCTGATACTTCCGAGAGTTGGGTCTTGCGCTCAACGAAAAAACATTCGTGCTATGTATAGAGACATGACATATAGAATGAAAGGGAAACCACGGGTCCGATGGGTGAATCGACCGATCGATATTGCGTAGCATCAGCCTTACCTTATCAACCAGGTTGTAACAAGCCGCGCTAAGCTTGATCGAATCTCCATCTAATAACTATTGAGGCAGCATTACCTCGAACATGGGGGCGAGCCTGCAATGGTGGCGCAATAGTCGCCCAGATCAAGGAAGTAAGAGGGTGCTCCGTTGTCTACTGCTGTATGTGCGCTAAGTTTCTCTCAATAAACTCGCGTCTGACCTCCCCCCTCCAAGCATGCTTTGAAATCCCCCTTCTGTCGTCCGCACGAAATCCAATACTCCAACGACGTGTCCCCCGTCAGCCGTACCTGGAGCAAGGTGATGGCCCGATCGTTCTGGTCATTGCTCCTACCCGAGAGCTGGCGGTTCAGATAAAGGAGGAGTGCGACAAGTTCGGCGGGTCGAGCGACATCAAGAACACGTGCGTCTACGGCGGCGTGCCGAAACGGTCACAGGTGAGAGATAAACGCACGGAGCGAACGAGCACAGGGCGTGCTTGTCGGAGAGCTCTGGAGCCTCTTTCTTCTTTCGTGATGTCAACTCGAAAAACGGAGGACGTTGTGACGTCATGAGGACGATATATGTTGTCGAACAGAAGTCCACTTCGACATTGCTCCGACCGAAACATACTGAATAGGGATTATCTCAGCTCGTGTAGTTATGGTGAAGCAATAGTGTTGTGCACACCATACAGTATCAGGTTACAGCGTTTTCGGTCGTGTTGCGTGCTGGCATAACCTTCTCGCTGCATGATACACCATTCAGGTCTACGACCTCAGCCGTGGCGTGGAGATCGTGATCGCCACCCCCGGACGGCTGATCGACCTACTCGAGTCGGGCAAGACAAACCTTCGTCGGGTCACGTACCTCGTGAGTCAAGTCCCGGCTCCTGTTGTGTTGTTGCTCTTGGCCGAGGATCATTTAGTGTTAAGGATTGGATGTTGGATGAGGCCCCCAGCTCCGGCCTGTGGTCCCGCCCATACCTTCCCTGTGGTGTCTGTCTTCTCCTCACCCACTAAACTGGAGCCTGGTTGAGCCACCCAAACTTTCGTGTTTTCAGTCATGGCTAGAACTAGCGCGGCCCACGGCGGGCACAAGCTGCTAAGGTCGCCTTCGCGATACACAAGTGGCTAGACGCTTGTGGGTGTTCATGAAGAGTTGGATATTAAGAAATTGTGTTTGTAGGTCTGTCTGCTTATAAGATTGTTCAGGTTTTGCCTTGTGGAATGGTCTCGTGGTGTCGTCGTTGTGACAGTCAAAGCAGAGACTGGCATGCTGCTGAGGGTACTACAGCAGTGGTAGCTTACCATGAGAACCGGCATATCAGCTGGTCGTTTGTGACACGTGAAAGTAGTGTTTTGTGGGGCGCGAAGAGCAAAAACAAATAACCTCAACATAATCCGCTCCGCTCTGTTTGAAAATTTCGCATTCTGTGCTGGGCGTGCACTGCTGGACTAGTTGGAAAGCAGCATGTTAACCCCGAGCTTCAAAATTGGAGTAGAAAATATCGTCGTCTTCTTTCCAAGCCAGATTCCATCCAATAATACAAACTTATGCCACACAAACAACACAACAACACTGTCAGGTCCTGGATGAGGCCGACCGAATGCTGGACATGGGCTTCGAGCCCCAGATCCGCTCCATCGTGAGCCAGATCCGCCCCGACCGTCAGACTCTCATGTGGAGCGCCACCTGGCCCAAGGAGGTGGAGGGGCTCGCCAGGGACTTCCTGCGGAACTACTACCAAGTGCGTATGTCCAATGGGGAGGGTATAACGACGTATGCATACCAGTGTGCTTTCATTGAATTTAGGCGTTGCATGGAGGGGGGGGGGGGGNGAGAGGACGGAGCATTGTTCCCACAGGACCGATCACCGATGGCCAATCGTTCCTTCCTACTTTGCCAAAGGTGGCTCAAAAATGTCTTCTCGAGTCTGTCTATCCTAACGATATCCCTTCCCGCCTTTTCAACCCACCTCCTATGTCCCAGTGCAGCTACTGTCCTTTCCTCTCTATTCCATGCCTCAAACATCTCCCTGTACGTCCTATCAATTTTCCCAGCTCAGTCACGTACACTTCCCTCTCCTGCTTGTACAACGGACATTCCGCGACTACATGAACACGGTCTTCGCATTCGAAGCCGCAATCACATTTGAACTCGTCGTCTTCGTCGTCTACCGTCCTATGTCTTCGCCGACACTCTCGAAGGCCTATGTCCCCGGTCCTGAATTTGACCTTAAGTTTGTCCCTGCATCCATTGGTCCACGGAGGTAATCCTTGAACCCCATTCCTTCTTTCAACATTCCGTACACTTCTAGACCCTCCTTATCCTCGGTTTCTTTCCTCAGATTCTGTTCTTCTCTCTCGGCACAAGCAACAGATATCTTCTCCTTGAACCCCTGTAGACCCTCCGTTTCCAGCGTTTCATCTTCGTCGATGTCGAGCCCCTTCCATACGTCCTCTACAACCTTGACCCATTCCGTGGGTTGTCTACCCCTCTTTTTGTTTGCCCACTTCGCCTCCCATACAATTCTTGGCAACCTCTCTTCTCCCATCCCGCACATGCGATACCGCCATGTCAGCTTCCGTGCGTCTCTTCCCGACCGTGGGGATTGGATCCCCAATTCTGCCCTGACGGCTGCATTACTTGTGCGC